ACAGGATCAGATACCACATGTTCTTGCTTGTAAGTGGGAGCTAAACATTGGGTACACATGGACATAAAGACGGGAACAACAGATACTGGGAACCGCAAGAGAGGAGAGGGAGGGAGGATGTGGGTTAAACAACTACCTATTAGGTACTATGCTCACTACCTGGGTGACAGGTTCAATCCAACCCCAAACCTCAGCATCATGCAATACACCCTTATAACAAACCCACACATGTACTCCCTAAATCTAAAATATTAATAAAAGTTTAATGTTTTTAAAAAGAATAGAGGCTAGTAGGGCAATGATTGTACAATGATGTGAAGGCACTGAATGCCACCGAACTGGACACTTAAAAACGTTTAACATGGTAACTTTTATATGATATATATTTTAACAGTTTTAAAAAGAATAGGAGCTGGGGACACTGTCCAAGCTCTGTTTGGTGGTATAACCCCCAGTGCCCCACAGGCACCACAGCTGAACATGGAGCCATGTGTTATCTTTCCTGGATGCTTCCACCAGCTGAGAATATGTCAGTTTTGAGGCAGATGTGTTTGTTGGAGGACTAGGGGTAGGGATCATCTATATGTCTTCTCCCAGGCCTGTCCTGGGGCAGGGGCCCTTTTGCAGAAATTGAGTACTTAGCTCTTCTGGCCCTCCCTGCACCCCACGGCATCCTTGGTGTTCCCCTGGGTCAGGGACTGAGGACCAAGTCATACATAGGCCCGTTTCTCAGCACCGCAGGTCATCATTCTGTCCTCTGTTCACTGCCTGTCTCCCTGTTCTGACTCACAGCTGAACTCCCACCTTCCATGAAATCAAAGTTAGCTGCTGTTACTTTTTGCTTGGGAACATGTCCTTCCTGCCTCTGCCAATCTCTTTGACATCTGGGTACTCAAGGAAAACTTCCCCTGTAAGCTCTCTGAGGAGCCATAGGTTATTTCTGCAGAGTCCCTGAACTGCTCCTGTTCCACCCACTCTGTTCTCTGTTCCACCCACTCTTGTTCCACCTTATTTTGTCCCCATCCATGCTAACATGGGCAGTGTCTGGCCCTCCAGCTGTCAGTTTATATGTCCTATCCCTCGCTTTCCATCCCAGAGCTCTGACCACCACTGTCTAGCTTGATTTTGGCAGTTTGTCCCTAAGACTAGCAGTCCCCAAGGAAGGTTCCAATACATGTGTCATCTCTTTCACCCCCAAACTAGAATCAATAACTGCCAAACATCAAAAGTACGAGGTAAAAATCCAATGGTCTTGTTTCTGGCCCACTGTGGGTATGCAACAGGAAATTCATGTGCGCCTTCACTGCTCTTTTTCTCAGGGACATTCTCCCGGCATGTTAGCAAGGTCCAGTTAAATTTCTCAGGGTGAGGGTCCCCTTGGAGAAGGGAGTGAGTTGGTGTGGATTTCTGTACTCAAGGTAGAGCACTTCCAACAACCAGGAGCTCTGGGCATCCCACCCCTGATCTGGGCAAATCTGGCATGAAGTCTACACACTAAAAATAGCTTTCCCAGTACATCAAAGTGATGGTAGAGGCTTCCTGATCTGGCTTGCACACCACAGGTGAAGTCATTGGTCACTTACCAGTGTCTGCCCACTTAGGTTCTAAAGTCCACTGTATCAATGACATCATGCTAACAACTGGATGAGCAAGACGTGGCAGGGATTTTAGAGGCCTTTGAAAGACATAAGCACTTCAGAGAGTGGTAGCTTAAGCCTACAAAGATTCAGAGCCCTGCCATACCAACGAAGTATTTAAGGGGCTACTGATCAGGGGCATGCTAGGACCACCCCTCCAAAGTCAGAGGCACATGACTGTTTCTCACACTTCCTACCACTAAGAAGGAAGTACAATGCCACGTAGGCCTCTTTGGGTCTGGAAGCAGGGGACCAAGCAGTGGAATGACCTCACTTACTATTTCTCCTAGTGATCCACGTGGGAATTTGTGCTTCCCGTCCCAATACAGTCACCACTAGCAAAATTCATCTATTTAAATTTAAATTAAGATAAAATTAGTTATTTTATCTGAATTTTAGATAATTAAAATTCAGTTCCTCAGATACACCAGGTACATTTCAAGTACTCAGTAGGCACATGCAGCCAGTGGCTACCTAATTGAACAGTGGATCCTGGCTATTCAAATGGGAATGCTTCCACCAGTACACACAGTAGGAGTCCCACTGAATTATGAGCCATGGCTGATAACTGAATTACAAGTCACGGGAACCTTGGGTTCATTCATCCTGCTATGGCTATGGGACTAAGCAGGTGTAAAGAAGAGTAGTCATTCTGTCAGGGGTATTGGCTCTGATCATGACGAGGAGGCAGGGTTGTTCTTACACACTGTGAACAGAGAAGGATATATTTGGCACCCAGGTGATCCATTTGAATGTCTCTTAATAATTCTTTGTCCAATTTTTATGGTAAATGGACACATGCAATTTCCACAGTCTGAGAAGGTCATGGGGACCATGGGTTCAAAACCAATCCTCAGGGATAAAGGTCTGTTACTCGACCAGGTAGGTCACTGAGAACAGCAGACATGGTGGCTGAGACTGAGAGCACTCTAGATTGGATAGACAAGGAAGACTATGAGCATCAGTTGTGGCTTCAAAGCCAGTTGCAGTCATGCAGGCCATACACCATCCCACTACCCTGCCTCATGTTCAACTCCCCAGGAAAAGGGCCAAGCCAAATCCTGGAGAAGTTATTCCCAAATGAGGGGAGCATCCTGTGTGAAGCAAGCCCATCTGAGGCCTGCAAGACATGGGCTGTGGTCGATGCTGTGATAGTTCCACAGCCCAGCCTGATGGCGGAGGTAATCATTCCCCTGCCTGCCAAAGGTGTTGCGTGATGATGGCACATAACTCTCTCTCCAAATATCAGTCAAGGGGTCAATGAAGGGTGGAAAGTACCAACACCTGGACTCCAGCCTCTACTTGCAACATCTCAATAGAATCTTCCCAACCATAGAGCTCCCTGAGGGACTGACTCAATTCTACTTCCCTCACTCTCTTACAAGTGTTTTGTTTTTGTTTTTGTTTTTTTGAGATGGAGTTTTTCACTCGTTTGCAATGGCGCAATCCCAGCTCACTGCAACCTCTACCTCCCAGATTCAAGCGATTCTCCTGCCTCAGCCTCCTGAATAGCTTGGATTACAGGCATGCGCCACCACGCCCAGCTACTTTTGTATTTTTAGTAGCGATGGGGTTTCTCTGTATTGATCAGGCTGGTCTCGAACTCCTGACCTCAAGTGATCCACCTGCCTCAGCCTCCCAAAGTGTTGGGATTACAGGCATGAGCCACTGCGCCTGGCCACAGGTGTTATTTTCTAGAACACGTCTTATCCTTTCAAGTTGCAGGGATGAACTAGTGAAGGCCCCAAACACTGACAAACTGGCATCCCACAGCCTCCTCTTCCAGAATGCCTTTGCGCAGGTATGTCTGGGAACCTCTAGCTGTGGGTGTGTGCCTCCTCGGGCACTGAGGGTTGGGGGCAGGGAGCTTCAGCTATTGTCAGATGGCACAGATTGTGCGGGACATCTTGTTAGAAGGAAGCAGTCTGGAAAATGGTAGTGGAGAAAATCTGGCTTTCCACTGATGGGAAAGCTTGACCTTCAAGGGTGGCCTTCTCCTTGGGTGGAAGGTCTGCCCTGGACCTAATGTGCTCACGGCAGCCCTGGGCAGCTTTCTCCCAGAATGGGGGTTTGCCTGCTGCTCAGAAGGAAGGGGTGCTGCAGGGCACCCACAGGTCTGCAGACTGGGCCTCAGGTAAGAGCTAGTCAGGGTGGCTCTGCCCCCAGCAACACTGGCAGCTCTGCATGCCTGGGGAGGCCATTGCGTAGGAGGAGATAAGCATCTGCTGATTTCAGGGGCTGATTGCTTCCCTTTCTCTCTCCGGGAAGCTGTCTGTTGCCTAGGTGATGCCCAAATCCCAGTGTCTGGTTTGAGCTCTGCATGACTCAGCTACCAAGCTGTTTGCTAGGGGCCTCAGGAGGGAGGTTGCTTGGATACCTATGAGATGGAAGGCATGTTTTGCTGTGAGGACATTTACCTCTGCTTCCGCTCCCTAACAGCAAGCAGTGTGCACCCCAAGCCATGTGTCCTTCCTTACTGGCAGGAGACCTGACACCACCCGCCTGCACAACTTCAACTCCTACTGGAGGGTGCACGCTGGAAACTTCTCCACCATCCCCCAGTACTTCAAGGAGAATGGCTATGTGACCATGTCGGTGGGAAAAGTCTTTCACCCTGGTACTGCTCCATGTTGTACTGCTCCATGTTCAGAGTCTGGGTTCTCTTGGTTTGTGGTATCTGAATCCAGCAATCCCATCCTGGGGATGGGGCTGTCTTTGCAGATTGCTCTTCTGGCTGGGCAAGTGCCTCGCCATTCATGCCTTTCAAAACCAACTCTGTCAACCCAGCTACATGTTCTCACCCAAAGTGGAAAAGGGTAGAAAGAGCTTTGCTACCTTTCAGAAACCACTGAGGGTGTGCTGTTGGGTCCTTCAGCTCCTTGGGTGGTAGGCAGGACACGGGTTGAGGAGGTGGCAATGTTGGGTGTAAGTCCATTTCCCGGCGCCTCTCACCCTCCTCCCTGCAGGGTACCTGGCCAGTAAACCTAGGTGGGGTTGAGGACACCTGAGGGCCCTCTCCTAAGTGGCCAGCATTGCTGTTGCTGACTCTGTTGCTCCAGTGAGGGGCAGTGGTTAGCGGGGTTGCTGCCCATTCTGTGAATTAGGTCAGAAAGATAAGTGTAATCTGGTTTCTGCACCTTGTCTCAGGAGCTCGCAGTTCTGGACATGGGAAAGTGCACTTCAACAGGTGTCTCAGGTGGTCTGGCCACCTCTCCTTGAGCCTACTCATTCCTTAGCCTCCCTGTGCTGCCAGGTCCTCATCTTGGCCTCTGGGGCAGGAGCAAAAACTCTGGGCATGGGAACGGATTTAATAGGCTGCCTGAGGCCTGGGCCGGTTGCTATTGGGTTTTTTGTTCCTCCTGATCTTGAGATGGATCCTTGGGGCCCACACAGGCATGCGTTCTCCTTACCCGGACTTCCCTGTATTCGCTCCTGGCTGCAGCAGCACAGGCTGAGGCCAGATGTTCCAGATGTTCAATGAGATCTTGCAGTCAGGCAGTCCACAGTTATTTCTATAGCATGTGCCATGTGTCAGACCCTGTGCCAGGCCTGGGGGCCACCTCTGCCTGGTGCAGGGCAGCTCACAAAAGCTGGCAGAGGCCGAAGGCTGCATGTCAGTATTCAGAATGCCACAGAGCGCCTGACTGCTGTACCTTCAGAGCCTCCACGGGCACCCCAGTCAGAGTTTCAGGGGTGGATTCCTGAGGTCCCACTGCCGGGGTCCCTCACTTTGCCATCCTGCAGGCTTCTCCATCCTCAACCTTTTAGATTCCCGCCATACTGAATCTAAAAGGGACAACGTGATCTCCAAGCTGGTGGCCTAGGAGCCTGCCGATAACCGACCCATTCATCAGCCCTCGTGGGTCAAGGCTGCCTCGTCCTCCCCAAGAGAGTGGAGAGGTTGAGCAGTGGGGCTACCCCTCGGCCCACGGGGCTGACCGACTGGGGCAGGAGTCAGGGGGAACTCCCTCTCTTTCTGCGCTCCACCGAGCTATCTGAAAGTCCCCACCATGCTCCCCAGTACTGACAGCCAGAGGGAGGAAGGGCTCACCAGAATCACTGGGCAACTCTGATGGGCATCAAGTCTGCTTTGATTATAGATGAGTGGGTAAGAGGCTCCTCTCAACTTGGGGTCTTCTTAGGAGAGCAGTGTCAGTGCAGAACAGGTTTCAGCCCTGTTCTGGAGACCACAGACGCTGGAAGGCTGGGACACCATTTGCAGCCCCAGCGTCATCTATTAGACAGAGCCAGCAAGGTCTCATGCTGTGTGGTGTATTTCAGCACTTTCTCAAATTTACCCGTGGCAGCTTTTGGTGTGTTTGGTTATTTTTATAACACTACTCACTATACAATTTCTGTCATGCCCATTTTTTGTATCAAAAAGGGTGCTGTAACTTAAAAAGACTGGGTATTTCCAACTTGGAATATTCAAACCATCTTTTGCAAGGGACGTTTTAAATAGGCATGAAGGGTTGTGTTGTTTGTAATCGGGGTTAAGGATCTGGAATCAAAGGTTTTAGTTTACTCCATCTATGGTGTATCTTAAAATCTGAGCAAGATGTCCTTGCCTTTTTTGAATTTGATGATTGTGCTGCAGTTCCACAGCTCAGTTTTAGGTGGCACACACCGAAAACTGAAAACCTGAGCTTGGAGGAAATGAGTCAAAAGATAGGTAGGTACAGGACAGGGCAGTGGTGACACTACAGCTTTCAGGGTTCCCACTCTGTCAAGGAGGAGCGTGTCTTAGCAGGGGAGGCATTTCAACGTCTTCTCAAATCCACCTGTGGCAGTTTTTGGTGTCTTTGGTTATTTTTATAACCCTAAATACTTATATACAATTTATATACATGTACAAAATGGACATGTACATTATATATTTTGATACAAAATATGCACAAGTACATATTTTGTATAAAAAAAGAGGTTCTCAGAAGAATTCCACTTCCACAAAACTAGAGTAGATATACTTTTCCCTATTCTTCCAACTAAGTGACCTAAAACCCCTTGATAATATACACAAATCAAACATAAGACTCTGAAAGGCGGAGTGAAGGCAGATCAGATAGGGACCTTGTGACCTGAGGAACAATGGAGTTAATTAGTTCTCTGGTGTGTGTCTCTCTTTCTTTCTTTCTTTCCCTCTCCTCTTCTTTCCCATTCCTCCCTTCCCCTCTCTTTTTGTTTCTTTCCCTCTCTTTCCCCTTCCCTCCCTTCCTCCCTCTCTCTCTCCCTCTCTCTCTCCTCTCTCTTTCCCTATCCTCTCCTTTCCCCTTCCTCCCTCCCTCTCTCTCCACCCTCTTTCTTTCCTCTCCTCTCCCTTTCCCCTTCCTCCCTTCTCTCTTCTACTCTCTCTCTCTCTCTCTCTCTCTCTCTCTCTCTCTCTCTTTTTCTTTGCCCATATACACCAGACATGCTGGAGCTGAGCTAGGATCCAGAAATGTCAACAAACACAGAGAAGAAGAAAGAAGGAATGAAGGAAAAGAGGGAGAAAGGTGGACAATGAGGAGGGAGGAAAGAACAAAGCCAGAGGACCAAGAAAGTGTAACACCAAGATAGAAAACTTTTAGACAGTAAGCTGCTTTACTCTAGTTAAACACCACAGAAATATGATTTGATCCCCACTTCACATGCCAGCAAAGGAGTCAACTAGGGGGCTCAGTCATAACATGCTTGCTAAGCTGTAACATCCCTCCTGTCTACCTTGGTGCTGTTGGAGGTGGCCAATCAGGGAGCGGCATTTCATCCCTGCCAGGCAATAGCAAGTCCCATCCCTAAGGTGTCTGTGCAGGTGATACTGAATACAGTGTAGAAAAATATCAAACCCTCCCAGCCACAAAGGTATCAGTACAGCCCAGATCAGATCCCAAAAGTCCACTCCTGCCCAGCAGAAACAAGGAGTACCCCCACCCATTTCAGGAATCAATGGAGGCCATGTGGGGAAGGTAGACTACTGCACTCACCAGGCAGTAATGCGGCATGATCCTTCCCTTTCTTCTGCTGGAGTAATCCCAAAGAGGATGCCAGCTAAAACAAAGTTTAAATAACACCTTAAACCTAGTAACATAATATGAAAATCTCTAGATTTCAATCAAAGTCACATCATACCCAGAACCAAGAAGATCTCAAATGGAATGACAGGATACAATCAAGAGATGTCAACACTGATGACAAAGATGTTAGAATTATCTGTAAAAAAAAAAATTAGAAAGCCACCATTATATAAACGCTTCATTAAGCAGTGAAATAGCATCTGAAACAAACTAAAATAAAAGAAGTCTCAGCCAAAAAATAAATAGAAGACCTTAATGAGAGAATCAAATGGAAATTTTAGAACTGAAAAATACTACCAACTGAAATTTTAAAAACTCTACAAAGGAATCACTGGCAGAATAGAAGAACAGAGGAAAAGAACCAGTGAACTTGAAGACAGAACAGAAATTTCCCATTCTGAAAAACGAATAGAAAATACATGGGAAAACAAGATGGACAGAGCTTTAGGTACCTGTGGGACTATGAACAATGATCTCACATCTGTGTCATAGAGTCCCCAGAGGAAATGAGAAAAAGTGTGGGGATGAAAAATCAAAGTAATGCTTGGCTGAAAATTTCCCAAATTTGACAAAAAGACATAACCCTGCAGACTTAGAAACTGAACAAATCCCAAGAGAATAATCCAAAAGAAGGGATTCTACATAAAACACTTGGGTTAAACTTCTGAGAACTCTTAAATAAAACAAAACTTAACTGGGCATGACAGCTCATATCTGTAGTCCTAGCTACCTGCGGGTTGAGGGCGGCAGGATTGCTTGGCCCAAAAGTTCAAGGTGCCACAGTGAGCTATGATTGCAATGCTGCTCTGCAGCCTGGACAATGAAGTGAAACCCTGTCTTTAAAATAATAATAATAATGATAATAATTTTAAAAAAAAAAACAAGAAAAACTTGGAAGCAATGTGAAAAATGATACCTTGCAAACCAAGGATACAAGGAAGTGGCACAACTTTTTCAAGGGCTTAAAGCAAATATGCTTTCACCTGGGTGTGTTAGCTCACACCTGTAATCTCAGCACTTTGGGAGCCAAGGCGGGCAGATCACCTGAGGTCAGGAGTTCGAGACCAGCCTGCCCAACATAGTGAAACCCTGTCTCTACTAAAAATACAAAAATTAGCCATGCGCTGTGGCATGCATACCTTGCATGATGGCATCCCAGCTACTTGGAAGGCTGAGGCAGGATAATTGCTTGAACCCAGAGCGAAGGTTGCAGTGAGCAGAGGTGCCCCACTATTTTTTCTGGCCTGGGCCACACAGCGAGACTGTCTCAAAAAAAAAAAAAAAAAAAAAAGCGTTCACTCAGAATCTTACATTCATGAAAGCGTCCTCCAAATGACATTCCATGGCCACATAGGTTTGAAAACCATGGTATTTCTGAATTAACTGATTCATTTTCTAGATAGCACAACTGAGATTCTTCAAAAAACATGGGATTTTTGCAAGGAAGGCGCATCACAGTCCTCGAACACCATTTGAAATCTCTGGGAAATTTGCAAAGCTGAGAAAAAAGAAAAGTTTCCTCAGCGTTGCTGGGAATAATCTCAACCTGTAAATGTAGAAGCAAATCTTGAGAACTACAGATCCCAGAAGAGAACACAAGGTGCAAGAGTATGTCCCAGCAACAGCCCTGTGACACGAGTGGCATTTGTACCTCCTGGTTTATAAGAGAGACACAAGGAGCACAGTAACCAATAAGGTCACACAGGAACACAAGAGCTAACATTCAAACCTAGGTTTGCTAGACACCCAAAACTCAGGCTCTGGGCCTCCATTGTTACATACCTCATGGCCACATTCTCAGCCCTTCTGTGCGCCTCTATACATTGCTCCAGCATATGAACTGAGACCCAGAGGATACAAACAATGGGCTCCTATGTCAATACTAGGCATTTCAGTGGTACAGGCCATTTGTTAGAAAATGTGAATGGTGTTGCCATGTTTTCATGGTAACAAGCATTAGGAAATTTGGGTTTTGTTCTAACATCACTGTTCTATATCTGAAATCTGATGTAAAATGCCTTGGGAAAGTTAGAAAGATGAAGAAGGCAGAAATGGTTAGAGGAGGGAAAGGATAGAGGAAATAGAATACAATGTATGGACATATTCGTCTTGCTTTACCTCATACTTAAGCTCCACATCCCCCAAGAACTACACAGAACTTTCTGCTATGGAAGCCACTCACTGATCATGACTCTCATCACAGCCAACCTTTAATTAAAAGTGAAGCTGCATGAGTCAGCCAACACAGGGCAAAATGAGGAATCAAGGAACATGTGACTAAGGTCAAACATTAGCTAGTGTCATTTCATAAATGAAGTAGGCCTCTTTCCTAAAAACTTTCTCCAGTATCATTTTGCAAATGTTCAGTTGGGTGCTGCAACATGCTGAGGCCACCCCTATCTCGTCGTCTTATCTTCATCATCCACCCTCCTCTTTTTCAAAGGCAGTATGATCAGACACAGTGGATGGGGGGCCCTGCCCCTGCAAATCCCACCTGGTGGATGCTGCAGCTTAGGGCATCCAAGGCGCCCGCCAGGGCAAGCCACGCCTGTACCTTCTTTTTCTGGGTTGTGGTGGCAGGCCACTGCTCAGGCCCTGCCAAGTGAGAAATTAATTACATAGGGCAAATCCAACTTTCTGGTAGAAGCACAGGAACCTCTGGCCCCAATGCCCTTTTTCCCCTCTGCCCCACCCCACAGTAATCCTCAGAACCCTAGAGACTTAATGACATCTCTCCAAGCTTCATTCCTAAAGTCGGAACAAGAATTGGAAACCTCATGCAAGTCAGAAGATTGAGACACGGCAAGGGTTACTACCCATGTGTTCAGATTAGCAAGGACAGGAGCACATAACAGGTACAATGGCTTATCCATGGAAGGCTGCTCCTGAGCTGCACCTAGGCTGCATATTTGTGTGACTGTTGTCTACAAACACTCCTATCCCATCAGAAAGTACACAAGGTTTGTCAGATGACTTACTGGCCACATCAGTGAATCAGTGAATTCTCCTCAGGAAGGCTCCAGTTTGCCTTTTTAAAAATGCTGACAGTGGAAACCCAAGTATGAGGACACTCTGCTGCACCAGCAGTCGCCCACTCCTTCAGTGTGCCTTTACAGGAGTTGGACCCAATCTAGTTTCAGCCTCTTCTTCACGACTTCACTCTGCGAATGGGTCTCAGCCACCAACCTTCTCTAGGCTCCTTGAAGGTACCTAACCCCTTCAGGCTGTCCTTCCCCCATTTCCCACCTAACAAAACCCTTTCGACCCAAGGCCAGCTCAAACACCCGCTCCTCTCTGAAGCCTCCCCCAGCCTTGCCCAGGTGAGCAGTTCCTTCCTCTTCATTCACCTAACTCCTCTTGCCTGTAAGATGTTCCCTTACAAGTAACAAAGACATGAGTGTGCACCTACCTTCAAGGAGCCTCTTCCAGGAGAGGCCTGGCTTCGATCTTTTTGACATGATACTTTGCACTGGAATCTGCCCTCTCCTGCCAGGTTGTCTCACACAATACCAGAGATCTGAGACACCCTGCCTTAAATGCCCTGGAAGCACATCCCCTTCATGCCCTGGCAGTTGTCTAATACACACACAAGACAAAGCAGCTCTCGGGTGGCCTGTTGCAGGGCACAGCACAGTTCTGCCTATGCCAAGGCAGATGCTGGGCCCTTCCTATTAATGCTCAGCATACCCGTTCCCAGGGCACCTTTCCTGGGCATTAATTCATCAGGCAGTTAATATGGATTGCACAGCCTGCTGTGTGCCAGGTACCATGTGGACCCCACCACCCAAGCCCAATGCAGGCCCCTCTAGTGGGCAACCCTTGCTCCACCACCTCCTGGAGCTGCTCAAGACTGTCAGGTTAGGCTCAACCTGCTCTCAGCCTGCTTCCTTCCTGTCCCTTTCCTGAGGTTAGTTAGCCCCAGTAAACCTTTGGTCCTGCCAACTCCCTCTCACAGTCTGCTTCCTGGAGGACCCAATCTGAGACAGTGGGTTCAGAGTGGTCTGAAAGAAACAGGTGGTAAGATGAGATGTAGTACCCAGGATTGCCCTGCATCTCCCCAACTGGCAGCAGGTTCCCATCTTCGGGGGTAGGTGGCGCATGAGTGGCTCTAGGCACAGATGGCAGGCTAGTTGCTAGACCTTTGATGTTA